TTGCACCATTTTTCGGCTCCTGACCCTGGACCAAGCCTCCGTGTGTGCCAGCCGCCCAAGCCCTATTGCTGTCTCTGCGCCTACAGTCTGGTCTGGCCAGTCCTTTACTGCTATCGCGTCCGCTAGGGCTAAAATGAGTGTGGGGATTCATGCAGCTCTGTCTCTGTCCTCCCTCCCTGTCCCATCTCTGCTGTTCACTCAAATATGTCCATCTGCAGATGTCTCAATGCACAATGTCTCAGATGTGTTTGTGTGTTGAACATGGAATCCTTTAATTATAGCTGTCCTACTTGTACCTTCAAGGGGAGAGACCTGGAGGTCCTCTCACGCCACCATGCTGCTGACATATCCTAATTTTATTTATTTAATTTTTTTTCTTTTTGCTCTTCTGATTGGTTGATTTACACTAGTCTGTCTTCCAGGTCATTGATCAGTTCTTCTATATTAGCTAATCTTCTGTTGATTCCTTCTAGTGTATTTTTTATTTCAGTTATTGTATTCTTCAGCTCTGCTTGATTCTTTATTATACTTTATTTGTTGAAGTGCTCCCTAAGTTCTTCTATTCTACTCTCAAGTTTGGGGAGGATCTTTGTGACTGTTTCATTGAATTCTTTATCAGGCAAATCATTTATCTTTGTTTCTTTAGAGTTCTTTTCAGGGGAGTTTTCTTGTTCATTCATTTGAGAAGTATTCTTCTGTCTTCATTTTGTTGTACTTTCTATGTTTGTATATATAAATTAGACAAAAAAAATGATCTTTCCCTGTCTTGAATAAGTAGGCTTATGTAGAAGCAACCATGCTGTAGGCTGTGTGTGTGGATGCTTTTGGCAGGCCAGTTGGAGCTGTGTGGGTGGGCATGGCATCTGGGGTGCTAGCCTACTGAGCAGGAGTGGTTCTGTGTAGGGAGACCTGCTCCTATTGTAAGCAGCTAAAACAGACTCAGGCAATGTATGCAGGAACATGATGCTGTCACCTTGCAGATAAGCCAGAGCACCTGAACAGAACTCCCACCCACCCTAACAATGGCGCTCACCAGTACCTCTAGCCCCAGGGAATCCCTACAGATCCCATAGAGCTCCTGTGATTTCCCAGCCTTCTCTATTCGCTTTCTTTCATTGTTCAGAAGCTGTTTACTTATCCCTCCATTGTCTCTCCGAGGTAATTGCTCTCTATATAGGTGTATACTTTAGTGTGCTCATGGGAGGGCCACTGCCATCTTGGAAACCCTAGTCTTTTAATATGACAGAAATAAGATAATGAGAAATGGTATATTAGTTTATCTATTGCAATTTAAAAGAGCAAACATTTATTATCTTATGGTTTCTGAGGCCCAGGAATTTAGGAGTAGCTTGGCTGGATGGGTCTTGCTCCAGAGGCTCTCATGAGGTTGCAAACGAGATGTTGTTATCTAAAGGCTTCTCTGGAGCTGGAGAAAATGCTTACAAAATGGCCAACTCACTCCTGGGTGGCAAGAATCAGCCTTCTGGCTTGTTGGTGGCAGGGGCCTTAGTTTCTCACCATGTGAGCCTCTCTGTAGGATTGCTTGAGTATCTTAATGGCATGACGATTGGCTTCCCCCAAAGCAAGTGATTTAAAAGAGAGATTGAGATTGAGAGAGAAACCATCCAGGCAAAAGTCAAAGTATTTTATAACCTAGCCTCAGAAGTCATATACCATTACATTTGCTATATTCCCTAGATCACACAGACCAATCCTGCTACAGTCTTGGAGGGATTACACAGAATGTGAATATCTGAAGGTGGTGATCATTGGGGATCATCTTAGAAGTTGGTTACCATAGTCTGACTTCTGGCTCCCAATGATTCATGTCCTTCCCACATACAAAATACATTTACCTACTCCCAAGTCCTCCAGAAATTTCATTCCGTTATAGCATCAGCTCAAAGCACAGAATCTATCATTTAAATTAGGTCTAGATGTGGATGAGGCTTCTTATGGGTAGTTCCTTAAATATAGCAAATTAAGGGATCTGAAGGCCCATGAACTAAAAACAAGTTATTTGCTCCCCACGTGTACAATGTACAATGGCCCAACATATGTAGGATAATTGTTATATACCCTTCTGTTCAAAAACGAGAGAAATAGGAGACATGCAAGAGTCACAGGAATTCTGAAATCCAACCAGACACAGGTTGGTAGCTCCCTGATTAGTACTCAAGGCTTGGGAATAATTCTTGGCTCTTTGGCCAAGTTCCCTGGGCTATGGTTTCTGCCCCATGTGGGTTTGTTATTTTTATTTATTTAATTTTTTCATGAAAGGTAGCATGTGTTTGCAGCCATGTGTATATATCCATATCTAATACATAATATTAATTTGTGTCATTTACATTTATACAAATAGTATCATAGTATACATGTTTTCTACATTCCCTTCTTAACATGTTTTTGTGATCTGGTCAAGTTGATATATATAAATCCCATTTATTTTAATTGCTTAAAATATTACATTATGACTATATTATCTGTTTTCTTACTGATTTTTTTTTTTACTATTATAGACAATGCTGAAAAAAACATACTTTTCTTGGGTTGAATCATATGAAATTGCTGTTTCTATAAGTCAAAAATGTTTGAATATACAGTTTTATATGGTTGGACCTAATTCTGTTGTTCGTATGCCAATACTTTTAACATCTGAGTTTTAATTTTTGACTATACAATGGATGAGAAATGGTATCTTTTACTTGCATTTATCTATTTAGTTAAGTTAGACCTACTTTCATATGTTCAATGTTCATTTAGATTTCCTCTAACATAAATTTCCTACTTATATTCCATGCTCATCCAGAATAGGGGTAACAAATAAAGCATTTCTGTAAGAATTGATCATGGACATGTTCGTGGATTACAGAATAATCTTGAGAAATATTGGAGTTCTCTCAAAATGTGATAAATTAATGGCCACAAATTCTTCCCATTCCATTGGGCATGCTCTTTTGCAATGTGATTTTGCCATTCTTCCCAGCCAAAGGTAGAATGTTTCTCTCCTGCCTTGAATCTGGGCTGACCTTGTGGCTCAATTGGACCAAAAGATTGTGGTTGAGATGATGTTGCTCAAGTTCCAGAGCTTAGGCTTTAAGAGGCCTTCAAACTTCTGTGTTCACCCTCTTAGAACAGTGCCCCAGGACTTCCACATAATACAGAAGCCAGAACAGCTTCCTGGAGCATAGACCACATGGAGAAGAAGTGAGATGCCCTAGCTGCCAGACACATGACTGAAATCATTTTGGACCTTCCAGACCAGTTGAGCCTCCAGATAAATGCAGCTGTAAAAGTGAGCCCAGGTGAGACCAACCCATGGAATCATGAGAAATAATAAATTATTACTTTAAGCCACTAAATTTTGTGGCTTGCTTTGCAGCAATAGTTAACACAGCTATGCCCTGGTGTGGTAACAAGGTGGGTAAAGAATTTGGGAGAAAAATAGAACTTGAAAGTAATTGGATAGGATCCTTTTTATTTAAAAAAAATACTATTAACAGAGCACTCTGCCAGGCATTGTGCTAAGCACTTTGTATATGTTGTCTTTTTTATCTTCAAAATAACTCTATTAAGTAGAAATTACTATCCTTACTTTGCCCAAGGTCATACAACCATTAACCATTAGAACTCGTTTGAAACCCAGGTATATCTGACTGTAAAGTTTGTTCTAACCATTATCTTCCCATAAAAAAAGCATTTCTAAAAATTTACAGATCCAATAAAAGCCACACTTTAGTGGTATGCAATTTTATAGATGGTGTTTAGTAAAATTTTTTAATCACATAAAACAAATACAAATAAATCTATATTGGGATTTTAAATAGTAAATCTGGCTACAAATAAAAATACACAACTTTCTTACTACACAAATTAATATACAGACAAGGATGACACAGTAGGGTCATGCTTTTACACATCCCTTCAATGTGGTAAAAATGAGAATGGCACTGTAGTCTGATCCGTTTTAAGAAATTGTGCAGTGCCCAAAAAGCATACTCATTCCATTAGAAATTGTGGTTAAGAATGACATTAAAATGATCACTTTAGCTTTTATGTGTTTTTTTTTTTTTCAAATGGCTACTAAAGTTAGAACCTAACTACTTAATAAGTGCAACTGTTGGGTATTTCTTTGGGCCACAGGACTCCATGAAAAAAAGATGCCATAAACCAAGAAATTTTGGGAACCACTGCATTAGCTATCGCTCCATATATTAAATATACACCAAACTTTCCATAGTTCTTCAGTTCTTGTGCAAAATTCCTCTATAAATCAGTATGTTAAAGGATCAGTCTCTCAGATTGGGGTATATATGTAGGAAAAAGTCTTGCTAAAAAATGCCTGTCTTAAGTTCCAGCTTTAAAGGTAACAAGTAAAATAGAAGCAATTATCCCAGTCCAAAGAGGAACTGTATAGTGGGGATAAAGATGCACTCTACTTCCAACCTCCCCAGGGTTATTTCATAAACTATAAAAATGACAATGAACACTGGAGCCACTCAACATACATGTGTAGTCAGGTGTGCTTACCTGCCTGGACCAGAGAATTCAATACCATCTATCATCCCCAGCCAGGATTTCCTAAGGTAAATCATGCCATCTTGATTCCTCCTATCAAATTTTCTATCCCAAAAGGAGCTTCCTACAACTCAGGTTCTCAAATACAGTTATTGTCCTAATTATGCAGTATATTAGGGCCACATAAATCCAAGGCATTGCACTGTGATTGTTACATTAACTGTGTACTTCTAAAATGTGTTTCCATAGTTACAACAGCAAACCTATATTTAGAATTAATAATGGACTCCTTCCCATTTGTAATTATTTAGCCCCATCCATAGCAATTCGGAAAAGGACTGAATATCAAATATTTGGGGTTTCTACTCTTGAAATGAGGCACAAACTAATCAGAATACATTTTTTAAATGTTTAAAAGAAACTCAGAGTGTACATACATGTATAGCATAAGCACACATACTTTGAAAAATAAAAAGTAAGCATTTGCCCATAATCAAAACTTTATTGAAAAATTCACACCAAAATAGGAGATCATTGTTGTATACTTACAAAATTAAATGTAATTACATTATCTTGGTAAATTAGAATTACTGAACTGATAAGGCTTTCTGTGATGTAACAAATTCAGGAAGTTGTGTGGATCATTAGTGTTGCTTTCTTCTAAATGAACACCCTACAAAGGAATCACAAGAACATGTTAAGCACAAGTCTATTCTATCTTTGGTATAGTTTTAATCGCAAAAAGTACTTAAGTAAAAAACTTAAGTTTTAGGAATATTACATCAGCATTCTTACATAGGTTTATTTGTCCTTTTATACCAGAAATTTGCTATAAATAAATCTTTTATATTTGAATTTACTCTAATGTGATGTGACTACAACTGTCACTCCTGTTTCTCAGATGCTATAAGGAATATGTTTAAGACCATGATTCTGAATTCAACAGTTAAACTTTAATGTTGGCATGACATAAAGGTTCCAGAAGTCTTGCAAGTACATTTTTAAATAAGAAAAATACTTCATACTTGTACCTTACCAGGTCATACCAAATAGATCTTGGATTTGTTGCCAACCCACTTATAACTCTTCCAGTGAAAATAACATGGAATTCACAGCTCCCCAAAATATCACAAGCAAATTTCAAGTGTCATCATGGAATTATAACTCTACAAGTAGTATTATGAAAAACTATTATATTTTCTTACTGCACAAAAGTGAAAGTAGAATTAAAATTAGATTTTCATATTAACCCTTAAGTAGTTACTCACAGAAATCAAACCTCTAGAATTTAAATTTATACATTATCTGTTGCTTAGCTAGCAATGATAAAAACTGTCCTAAGTCTCATGTACCAAATATATAGGAAACAAAATATTTACAAGAGATATTTTTAAATCCTATGGTTTAAAAAATCCATGTCCTATTGTATGTATTCTTTTGCTCCATTCTGATTTATGTTTAATATTCTAAGTTAAGCAAACTGACTAAATACAACAGAATTAGGTGTTCCAAACTAAGAAAAATAATATTCAAAGGAGTTCTTTGCAAGGTCAAGAGTATAAACTTATCCAATTAAACAGGGCAGTCTTTACTGAAAGAGCACACAACGAAAGAAAAATTATTTTGGTAATCATGATTTTAAGATACAGACATTTACAATCATAAAATTTCATCACTGGGTTAGAAAATGCTAAATGATATACCTTCTGTAAGTCTGGCCTTTCCTCCTGTGGGCTGGCACAACACTGTTGAACAACCTACACAAAGAACCACGGTCTGAGCATGGCTGAAAACCGTGGTAATCTTGTAGCAACCTAAAAAAAGGTCAACAAAAGCAGAAGAAAATATTTCAACATATTTCCAGTAAAGACTTTATATTAAGTACTTTAGTGCTGTGCAATAGCAAGCCACATGTAACAAACTTTCTAGTAACCACATAAAAGTTTTTTAAAAATAAGTGATAATATATTTTATTGAAATCAATATTTCCAAAATATTATCATTTTAACATGTAATCAATGTGTGTGTGTGTGTGTGTGTGTGTGTATGCTACATCTTCAAAATCTGTTGCATATTTTATATTTAAAGACTTTTTCCTTCTGACTAGCCACATTTTAAGTGTACCACATATAGTTAATGGCCACCGTATGGAGCAGCACAGCTTTACACTAAAGAATCAACATACCTCTCATTGCATCATGAAAAAGAAAACTCATATTATCAGCTTAAAGTAAATCAAATAGCACATCCACTTTGGAGTTCCATCTTCAACCTCCCTCCCTGCCAAAAAATGTTTCTACAGTGGTTTGAATCGTTTACTGTGAAAATGTCCAATTCTGTAACCACACTTCTACTCTACAGAGGATCCTAATGTAGCTAAATATACACACCACACTAGCAACCCCTATAGAAATTTTCCTTGGGAAAGGAATTAAATTTGAAATTTTACCTGGGCATTTTACATCCATAAAATAAGAATTTGGACTTTGAACTAGCCGTTTCTTTTTGTGTTTTTTCTTTTCCTCTTCCAAGGACGGATGTAGTAAATCTCTAGCCAACTGGATTTAAAAAAAAAAAAAAAAAATATTATTACTACTAGAATGAGACCACAATCCTGGAATCCATACATGAAATATATTTGCAAAACTAAAAATAAGTCATGCTCAGCAGAGGCAACACTTCAAAGCGATTAGTTATGTTTTAAAGCTTAACTTTCATCAATACTTTTTTATAATGCCTGCGTTCTCCCAGTCCCGGTAAAGGGGCTCCCTGACGATCAAGGAACATATGGTAAGGTTAACCGCGTTCTTCTTTACTCAGCTCAATAACAAGTCTCCAATAAAAACAAAACTGTGGTGCTGAGTAAGAACGTGACCCTGACCCTGGCCCGCTGAGCAGAAATCGCTGAGGTAGGCACCCGAGAGAAGGCCAACGTCGGGGTGATTCCTGCCCCCCGTACCCCCAGGGTTCAACGCCTGATCTGACAGGACCTCGGAGTGGCTGAGGCGTGACCGTCCTTGACGGAGTTACCATGTGAGGCAACTGAGAAGACAGTTATTAAAAAAGAAACAAGCAAGGAAATCGCTTCCGAGAGAAGGCAGAGGGAACAAGAAGACTCCAAGGATCACAGCCTCCCGGGCGCCCACCAAAAGCCAGACGGCTGATAAGCTACCCGGGGAGCCCGGGGAGCTGTCCCCTCCCAGCCGCCGACTCCAGATCGCAGCTCAGTGAGGCCCCAGCGCCTCCCGGCCCCACACCCATGCCGGCCGGCCGAGCCGCGCTGCCCGGGCAAGTCCCGACGAGTCCGCCCCGCGCGAGGAGGCTGCGCCGTCGCAGCGGCGTCGCCGCGTTCGGCAGGGAGCCCCAGGGGCCGGCGGATCGGTCCGGCTAGCCCACCCCCGGCCCCTGGACAGACAGAGAAGTCCGAAACACACGCGAAGCTCGAAAGTAAACAACTCACAGGCATGTTGATCCCTTAGCAAGCCCAGCCGGTCCAGGTCTCCGAGGTGACAACGCTGGCGAGCCGCACGCGAACAGGCGCAGCACCAACTTCCGGCATAGAGGAGGCTGGGAGGAGCGGAGGGGCGGGGCGGGCGGGCCGTCCACTCTAGGCGCTCCTCTCGCTGGTGGGAAGCGGGACGGCTTCGGCCCGGGCCGCGAGTGCCTGTTGGTGTGGGCTCTGAGGGTCGTACCAATCCGAAGTTCCACCTTCTGCGAACCTAACGGGCTCCAGGCCTGGGGCTGCCGGCCGTAAAGCTCCGCAGTGACCTGCTGTTCCCAAGGCCAGGTTTAGACGGTGTGTGCCTGGCTAGGAAGCCGCCTTGGGCTCAGGCCGCGGGGAGGGAGCACCGACGGCCTCGCAGAACCCGGCTGGCCGACCCCGGACGGCTCACTGGGCCGCTCGTCCAAGGCCCCGCTTTCAAATCCCTCTGCTGTCGATTCCCTCTGCAGGCGTGCACACGGGGCGATGCCACTGTTCTCTGTTCTTTTGTGTATTAAAAACAATATTATTGATTAGAACTTAACATGTACCAGCGTGATTATGAAACAGACTCGTGTCCTTGTGCATCCAGCTTCCAAGGTACTGGTTATTAAGTTCTTTGTGAGGATGCGGCTGTGCCCTTGGGTTCGCTTTGCCCTGAAAAAGTTTTTAAGAAGCACGGATTCGCTGTCATGCTTAGTGCCCCCACCCACCCCCACCCCCCCAGGAGCTTTGCTGTCCTCTGAGGAGTATGCGAACTTTCCAGAGAGGACGACTGGTGCCTGAAAAACATGGGGTGTCACCGATAGCCAGATGTTTTTGATGAGGACAAGCTTGAAGGATGGATGTGAGTGAATGTGATCGAAACCTAAGAAACCAGGAAGACACTTGATCAGGAAATTGTCCTGGATAGACATTCTCAATCACCTTTTATTTCTCTTTGTTTGCAAAAATAATATAATACACATTTTGGAAAATAGAAGGGAAATTCAAATCACCATCCAGATATTCCAAACATTTTTTTATTCACCGGCATATAGGTTTGTTTTGGGTTTTGTTTAACATAACTGGTATCATCTTGTTCATATTCCTTTGTAGACTTGATTTTCCCCCTACTGACTGTATAATCCACATTGTTCCATGTTACTACATATTTTTCTAATTCTGACTTTTAATGGGCTCATAGTATTCATCATATGAATATCCTCCTTGCATCCATAGGCTAAATTGGAATTAGATTTGGATTTTTTGATATTTAATATTGTAAATATTAACAAATACTAAATATTTTCAGACAGATAAATATATAGAATAATATATAAATGAGTAGGCAGAATAATAGCCCCCAAAGACTTAAATGTCCTAACCTCCAAGATCTAGTTACATGGCAAGTTGAATTAAGGTTACTAATTAGCTTACTTTAAACCCGGAAAATTATCCTGGATTATCTGAGAAGACCCAATGTAATCACAGGGGTCCTTAAAAGTGGAAGAGGAATGCAGTAAAAGAATCACAGAAAGAGATGGGGTGATAAAGAAGGGTCTGAGATGCTTCGTTGCTGGCTTTGAAGATGGATGAAGGGGCCATGACCCAAGGAATGTGGGCAGCCTGTAGAAGCTGGAAAAGGCAAGGGAATGGATTGTCCCCTAAAGCCTCCAGAAGAAACACATTCCTGCCAGCACCTCAATTTTCACCCAGTAAGACCTAATTCAGACCGAACTACAGAATTTCAGGGTAACATATTTGTTTATTTTAAAGCACTAACTTTTGTGGTAATTTGTTGCAATAGTAGAAACTAATACAATAAGGAAGACCCATGTACACACCACCCAACTCTTGTCTAATTTTAGCATTCGATACTCACTCTCCCCAATTTTTCACTGTTAAAATAACACTGTACTCAGCATTCTTGTGGGTGAGTTTTTGTGCACATCTTTGATATTTCCTTAGGATAAATTTCTAGAGGAGGAATTGGCGAGTGAAAAGTTATGCACATTTTAAGGTTTTTAATGTAAAGTTCCAAATTACCCACCAGAAAAGTCAAACCAATTTATATTCCAGATGAAAATGTTTGAGAATGCCCCTTTCTTTACATGCTTGACAATGTCGAATATTATGTTTTCCCCTATCTCAGTCAATCCAGAAAAAGCATAAGGTATTCTGTCATAATTTTGCTGTTGTGTTACTTAATATTTTCCATATGCTTATTGGCCATTAGTACTTTTCTATGGGGATGATCATCTATTTCTTCATTATGCATTCTTTTATATTAAGGATGTTAAGCAAATATTTTCCCAACTTATTCTTTCCTATTAATTTTATTTTGGGGTGTTTTAAAAATCATAGTAAATTTTAATTACATATATACATATTAATAATGTAGGCATATCTCACTTTATTGAATTTCACTTTATTGTGCTTCACAAGTGTTGCATTTTTTTACAAATAGAAAGCAAGACCCCCACCACCACCACCAGCAAAAAGATTATGACTCGCTTTTTTGCTGTCCTCACTTTATTATGGTGGTCTGGAACCAAACCCACAATATCTTCGAGGTATGCCTATATATTTCAAACCAGTTGTTTTTTTCCTTTTTGCTGTTGTGTTTAGACAAGACTTCGTCACCTTAGGATCACCTAATTATTTGCCCATACTTTTTTCTGATTCTTTTATTGTGATATTTATTCCTTAATTTTTAAATTAACCTGGAGTTCATTTTGGCACTTGATATGTGGTAGATCTCAGAACAACATCTAATAATCGGGCCTCATTATTGCTTCAGTTCCTTAACAATGCCCAGTACGATGTCAAAACTCTCCAACTTCGGAGACACTGTGGTAGCATGAAAAATAAAACTCTCAAAGTCAAGGAGACCTGAACTCTATTTGTAACTCTGCCACCCTCTCTGGAGTTCAGTTTCTCCTAACATGTCCCCAGGTCCTTGCACTGATGGCAGATGAAGGAACACGTGGGCAGATGCAGGGACCCAGAATCCCTTTGCCTTGGCAGCCTGTATTCAGGGATCCTGCAGTAAGAGCTTCTACCCAGCTTCCCAAAGAACCCTGACATGTCAGTCAGAATTGTGTTTATTGACTGAGAACTCTCCAGCCGTTCTATCTGGCGAAGTCGGAGAAGGTGCTGCTGAATTCTCCCATTCAGCACCTGGCTCCCATCACCTCAGAAGTATGCAGCAGTCTCCTTTCCCTTACCCCTTTACCAACTTTAAACACTGGGAAAACTCACAGGTGTTTGGGTTAAGCCGGGAACCCAACTGGTGTTAAATTTCAAGCTGGCCAAGACTGGTTCTAAGTAAGTCAGAACCAGTTTCCCCTAGGTTGGCGTTCCTCAGGCTTGTGCCTTTCTTTCCCCAGAAAGGTAGTCAGAGGGTTTGTTTAGTTTTGTTTTTAAGAAATTTGGGGTATGAGGTAGGGCCCTAAAGATAACTTTTCAAACTCCTGCCTTTCTAAGTGTTTTTTTTTTTTCTGAGAAGCTCAGAGAAATCCGTATCATCAACAAACTATACCAAGGCTGCATTCTTTTTCTCTTCCGTCTATGGTCCACCTATTGGAAGGTTTCAAAGCACATGTGGCTTATTCTCAACACTCCAGAAATCAGCAGCAACTTCTAAAGGTCCATCTCTTCTCTACACACCAGTTCTCCAACAGGGTCACAGCCATTGTCTCCAAAGCTCCATTGTAAAGGTCGAAATTCATTTGTCATTCATGAGGATGTTTGACACTCAGATAAGCTCCCATCTATAAGGGGTAAGCGTTTCAGATGCAGACTATGCTGTCATTTTCTTTATTTTCCATACCAACTTAATTTCTGACTGAGGCTGAGCCCCCATTGGGCTGAATATTTATATCCCCCCAAAATTCATATGTTGAATCCTAACTTTTAGCCCCAATGTGATGGTATTGGAAGGTGGGGTCTTTGGGAGGTGATTAAGTCATCAGGGTGGAGCCTTCATGAATGGGATTAGTGCCCTTATAAAAGAGGCCCCAGAGAGCTCCCTTACTCCTTCTGCCATGTTAAGGACACAGTGAGAAGACTGCCATCTATGAACAAGGATGTGGGCCCTTAGCACATACCAGATATTGATGCCCTTTACTTTGGACTTCCCAGCCTCTAGAACTGTGAGAAATAAATGTCTGCTGTTTAAGCCACCCAGTCAATAGTATTTTGTTACGGCAGCCTGAACAGAGTAAGACAGCTGGCCTGGCAGAACATTCTAAGTCAGTCTTTGGATTGGGGCAGGTTTTCTGTATGTGTCCCCCACCTGATTTGCTTGCCATCCTTCACCCTGTTCTGTGCCCAGGAGGTTCACTTTGGTGGGCTGCATCAGCCGGGTTCTCCTGTCCTCTGGTTTCTAGTTGGATTGAGCCAATGGGAGGCATCAGTAGGAAACCACAGAGTGGGAGAAAAGCAGTATTGAGGTATTTACTTCCCTGGATTTATCCTTGATGGGCCATTTTCTCCCAAGTGACTGTGTTTCTCTAAAGGTAACAGCTGGTGTTTCTTTCTCACAGTTCTCATGGAATTCCAGTCACCACTTTCCCCCTTTTTGGCCCTTCTGCCCGAGAGGTGGTGCCTCACAATCTTTTGTTGGTTTCTGTTAACCAACCTTGTAAATAGTCCCTATGTGAAGCTATCTGCAGTTACCCCTTTTGATAGGCCATCTGTGATCTGCCAGGACCCCTACATGGGGATCCCCTGCCAGATATGCTCCTTTTTTGGCCTGGAAGGCTTTGCTTTCCAGTCATCAATCCAACCAAGTCACCACAGGGATGTCTAGTGTCCCCTCCTGTAGAACTCTTCAGATTTAACAGGTCATGGCTTGAGATGGATATGGGAGTCTTAAGGGAAATGACCTAAAGTCCTAGGCATGCAGATCTTTGCCACTTTGGACCAGCAGTATTAAGATCACCTAGGAACTTTTTGGAAATGCAGGTCCCACCCACCTTCTGAGTCAGTCACATTCTGCATTTTAACAAGATCCCCTGGTGTTTCATGTGCACATCCCAGTGTGAGAAACACTGGCTTAGATATAATATACTGCCATTCTCTCTGGAGTCTGCTTACCTACCCCCTGAGGCTGTCAGGGGACCAGAA